TTCCTTGATCATTTCTTTAAATAAATTCGGTGATAAGCTCTCCTTAGCGTAAATCACTACTCCTCTTTTTTGACTTTGTCCGATGAAATAATTCTTGCCCCAATCTTTTATTTATCAATACTTTCCTGTGTAGTCTTATCACATGTGTTTCCTGTAAACAGATCAAGTCCAATGTTCCTTTTTTAATATATGAAAGATTTTTTCCTCTTATGGGAGGAGTTAAGACCATTGGTATTCCAATTTAATAGTTGCAGGGCCATGGTGTAGTTACTTTGCTTTTTCCTCCAACCGCGCCGAGGGCTTGTTCTTGTTCTGTCGGTGGTGTCACTTTTCCTAGATCGTCCAATCCGAGAGGCAGTATTGCTTTGTCTAGTATTCCTCTTTCCAGTACTCCTGGCTCTTCTCCAGATCCTTTCTGTAAATCTTCCTCGTGGTCCCTCAAAAATCTTTCCTTGTCGTCCACTGATCTTATTTTTGTATTTCTTTCCTTTGAAGCTAAAAGATAGGCCTTGGGGAATTCCCACCTAAAAACAATTCTATTGCTTCTCAGCAGACCAACCAATCTCTGTAGTCAGATCTAAGGTCCAAAAGGTATTTCGGGATGTCTTTGAATATCTCCACTCTTGACTGATGTATTACCAAAGTCTTCTGGAAAGTGCAGACTCAAGATTTTGTCTCTCTCCTCTTTTGTCCGGAGGGTAATCAAACCAGTCTCTCACCCTGTTCTTCTTCCCCCCTCCTCCAAGCCTAAAGGCCCTCACTATCTTGATTCTCCCTTTTCCAAATCTGATTTCCAAAAGTCTGCAATTTCCTGCATAAGAAAATCAACCAAGTTATCTTTCTCAGCTTCAGGTACGGCTCTGATCCTTAGGTTCGTTTGTTTCTCCTTCAATTCGATCATAGACAACGTCGACCTATGACCATCCAGTTGCCTTTGAATGGGTGGTAGCTTCTCCTCTACTGCCACTGCTTTTTCCTTAGCTCCTTCAGCTATCTGTCGGGTCTGGGTAGATTCCTAAGTAATAAATGACAAGGGGAAATAAACTCAATTTAGCTGCATTCAAAGGTGAACTTGCCTAATTCGCTCTTGCTGAAAAATATGGAGACCAAAACAGAGCTTTAAAATTCTGATATTTTCAAGCTTCACGCAGCCAGGTAATATTCACAAAAATGGTATTTATGAGGGTAAAGTATAGACCAAAATATTTATACAAGGAGGTAGCTACCCTAACATCTGATTCATTTTCAGAACAATAAATTAATAAACAGACTGATATGAAAAATGAGGAGAAGCTGAAATGGGCAGATTTCCCCATCACTTCTCAGTCCTGACTCAATTCTCCTTCTCCTTCTCCTTCTCCCTCTCCTTCTTCTTCTTCCCCTCCTCCTCCTCTTCTATTGAATTTATACACTGCCGTATACCTGGAGGTCTCAAGTGCTTGTTCCCTGTCTAGTAACAACAGAGACACTTACAAGGAGGTCTTTGCTTTCCTTGTCCCAGATCTGCTTGATGGGCCAGAATTTCCTCTCTCTCTTTCCTCAGAATCTCCAGGCGGTGACAGATCTCTCCCTAAAGAGAAAAGGGAAAACTCAGCTTCGATTGAGACACACAGAGAGATGAAAATCACAATGGCTTCTTGCGCCCAGTGGCCTTGCTAGAATAGCAAAGTAGTTTCCTGGAGGAAATAAAAGTACAGAGGTTTTCAGCGTTTTTGGGCTCCATGGATCAACTACCTTCTATCTTCAGCACCCCTGTGGGGCTCAGGATCCCAGTTAGGTCCCCCTTGCCTGCAGAGCTGGCAGCCCCTCACCTTTTCTCAAACACCCTCCCTTGTGGAGTGATCTCTCAGCCTCCTCTCCCTTCCTTGGGGGTCCCAGCCTGACTTCTCACCTTGAGGTCTCAGGGAGAAGTGGGAAGAGGAGGAGGAAGCTAAGGCAGGATCCAACCTGGGATGTATCAGTCTAGCCTCAAAGAGATAGTGAGGTCAGCCCAAGAGGCGAGAGATGCAGGGATAGACCAGAGCGTCTCAAAATTTGGGGTGGGAGGAGATCCTCAGCCCCCCCCGAAACATCATTGCAGAGGCTCCACGGCACCCCCAGAATAAGCCACCAGTAGGTGCTCCCACTCCCCACTCCCAAATCTGCTTCCAACAGATACTTGGGGGTGGGATCCTGCACCATCTGGTCAATTCCTGGCTAACAGTCCCCTCGCCCCCCCCCCCGCTGATCCCTTGCTGCTCTCTGTTTTGCAGGGCATTGAGGAGGCATCCTGGTAACCAAAGGAGACATGTACTTAGTTGTCTATGTGCAATTTACATTTGTACGTTCTAAATATGTTCTAAATATTGCTGGGGGATGTGGACGAGGTTAACCCTTTCTCTCCCTGCCAAGGTCCCAGTCCAAATCTTTGAAGCTGCTGTGAGTATTTCAAGATCCCCTTGTCCCCCTGGCAGAGAGAAAGACTTCAGCTCCCCCCTCCAGCCACCCCAGGAGCCCTCAGGCTTCCCCTGGGCTGCTTCCAAGGCGATAAACAACCACCAATCAATGCCATGCCTACTTTGGACCTGAGAAGCAAAAAGAAAACCTCCCAAGAAGAATCCACAGCTATTTATTTCTCCCCCTCCAGATCCAGGGATCTCCTACCTTGTATTCCTGGAAAGCCTCTTCCAGAGGAATCACCTTGTGATTTTCATGTTCCTTTGATTTGTCGCACACCACGCAGATGGGGGTTTTGTGGACTTTGCAGAAGAGCTTGAGGGGCTCCTGGTGCTTCTCACAGACTCCTCCTTTCCCTCCTTCCTCCTTTCCCTCTTGAAGGCTGAGATTCTTCACTATTTCCGCCACATTAGCCAGTTGCCGGTTGGAGACGAGGCTCCTTCTCTGGACTCTTTCTCTGCACTGAGGGCAGGAAGCCTCTGCCTCCGATTCCCCCCAGAACAGGACCAGGCAGGATCGGCAGAAGTTGTGCCCACACTCTGGGATGGTCACTGGATCCTTGAAGTAATCCAGGCAGATGGAGCAAGTGGCTTCATCACGGAGACGCTGGATGTGACCCCCTGCAGCAGCCATGGCTCCCTCGTGCTGAAGACTCAGTTAAGTTTCGCTTTTTCAGTTTTCAGTCACTGGGAGTTTCCCTTCCTGGAAATGACTCAGTGATCACGTGATCTTTGTTTTTTAAACAAAACATGTCTCCAGATCTTTGTAGTTGCTGAATGTTTTCTCAAGTAGCAGCGAATGCTTCTGGGTTGCTTCCCATGCTTTTGCTTACACACAAACACACACGTACCTAGTAAGTTGTGGTATTCATACTGCAACATTTTTCATTCATAGGCTTCCTTGTCATTTTTGAACTGGGAGAAAATCCTCCTCTGCCCTAAATGGACAGGAGTTCAGATTTAGCAAGCGGGACTTGATTCCGTGAAGAGAACTCCTAAAAATCTGGTTGCTAGTTCTAACTTTATCCCCTTTTTAACACGCTGGCAAAGAACTTCAGATTGGAACAGACGCTTTCAGCCTTGCCAACCTGGTGCCCTCTGTTTGCTGAAGACTACAGTTCCCACCATCCCTGGCCAGGACACTGCAGATATGGTTGGGAAGACCTTGCAGAGCCACTGCCAGTCAGTGGAGGCAAGACTGACCTCGATGGACCTGGCAGAAGGCACCATCTGAATGGTGGCAGCCCAGTTATGGAGTTCCTTCCCTAGATATGAATGCCTGGTATGACTTGGCTATTATTATTAATCAACACAGTGTAAAGTCTTCCTATATTCCTAATAAAGTGTGGTGCCTTCCAATGGCTGAAAAACCTGGAGGGCTTTAGATACAATTCCTGGAGGATAAGATTTTGGTAGGGGACACGGGTGGCACTGTGGATTAAACCACAGGGTCTAGGGCTTGCCAATCAGAAGGTCAGCAGTTCAAATCCCCGGGAGCTCCCGTTGCTCGATCCCTGCTCCTGCCAACCTAGCAGTTCGAAAGCACGTTAAAGTGCAAGTAGATAAATAGGTACTGCTCCGGCGGGAAGGTAAACGGCGTTTCCGTGCGCTGCTCTAGTTCGCCAGAAGCGGCTTAGTCATGCTGGCCACATGACCCGGAAGCTGCACACCGGTTCCCTTAGCCAATAAAGCGAGATGAGCGCCGCAACCCCAGAGTTGGTCACGACTGGACCTAATGGTCAGGGGTCCTTTTACCTTTACCTGAAGACTTTGGATGGTTATATGCTCTGCCTCCGTGGTTGGAAGCAGGAATCCTCCTGAATAGCAGCTGCTGGAGCCTCCAGGAGGGGCGCTTGTTCCCAGGCCCTGCTTAGGGGTTTCCCACACACATAATGTTTAAAAAATGTTTTTGGTTTCACCTGCAGATAAAAGGAGAAAGATCAAGATGGAGAATTCCCACCAAGGGGAAGCTGTGCCAGAGGGAATATCCCTGAGGAACATTCCAGTTTCATGTTAAGAACGGACCTACGGAACGAATTAAGTTCGTAATCGGAGGTACCACTGTATCTGTATCAAATTTTCATTCGGCCAGACGTCTGTACACTGTCAGTTATCTCTGGTGGCTGGTCAGGTCTAGTATAGATCAAGTGCAGAATACACTTACAGTCATACCTCGTGTTACAGACGCTTCAGATTGCGTTTTTTCAGGTTATGGACTGCCGAATTCTGGGGTTTGGCGGTTGCACATGCGCAGAAGCGCCAAATCGCAACCCGCGCATGCGCCGCGGGTTGCGGACGCTGCGGGTTGCGAACGTGCGTCCCGCACGGATCACGTTCACAACCCGAGCGTCCATTGTATTTCAAAACAGATGTTTTTGTTGATGGCTAGTTTCTAGTTTCATTCTCGCCAGTTTAACAGCATAGCCATTAAAACAGTTAAAACAATTAAAACAATAACATCAGGAAGTTCAAGCTCAGGGGAATTCTTGCTTGAACAGGCCTGTCTTCAAGAGCTGGCGGAATGCCAATACAGTGGTCCCTCGGGTTACATACGCTTCAGGTTACTGACGCTTCAGGTTACAGACTCCGCTAACCCAGAAATAGTACCTCGGGTTAAGAACTTTGCTTCAGGATGAGAACAGAAATCGTGCTCCGGCAGTGCAGCGGCAGCGGGAGGCTCCATTAGCTAAAGTGGTGCCTCAGGTTAAGAACAGTTTCAGGTTAAAAACAGACCTCTGGAACGAATTAAGTACTTAACCCGAGGTACCACTGTCTGATGAGGCCTCTCGTATTTGAGTAGGGAGAGCATTCCTCAATAGGTAAAGAAACCCACCTCTGTGTTACTGCTAACTAACTAACCGGATTATGTTAGCTGGCCATAGTGCCCTCACTGGGCAATGGAGGGTAAGACAATTTTCAGGTAACCTGGTCCAGCAGAACCCCACATTTTGTTGTCAAAAGTGGCAGATGTCACTGGTTTGTTTGTTTGTTTGTTTGTTTGTTTCCCCCGAAGGACTTCTCCCCCAAACCTGACCTTGTTTCCTGGCTGGAAGAAGTAGAAGAACCATTTGTGCGGATCTCAGAGGAAGGGAAGCGATGGCCAGGGACCTGCTTAGGTATGTGGTGACAACCTTTTCAGATGCCAAATTATATAATTTAGGTGCTAGAATTGATGGTTTGATAATTTACTTTATTTCTGCGTTCCAAAATCTTATTGCTGTATTTTTCTGTCTATGAGACACCCCCATATATAAGACGCCCCTCGCCGCCAACAACCACCATTTGACTGCCCCCTCGCCACGGCGCCAGCCTATCAACAGCAGCCCTTGCTGCATACACCAATCAACATCCCTATTGTCACTGACAATCGCCTGCTCGCGGGAACAACCAATCGCCAGTCCACCCTTGGCACTATCCATGTATAAGATGTCCCCAAATTTTTGACATTATTTTTTAGGGGGGAAAACCTAGTCTTATACATGGAAAAATATGGTAATTTCAATTACACTTGATACGGAAGGGGGCGGCATGTCTTCTTCACCTTCTTCTTCGCTACAATATATCCATTTATTTCCAATTGTCAATGTCAAAAGGGACTAAAATCTATAAAATTCATAGAAAATCAATGTACCAATTTGCTCAATTTCTCTAGGACTCCATGACACCTCCCCTGTCCTCCATAATCCCTCAAGCAAGGTGTCAAGACCCTGATCCTGTCAAATCACTCTGCCAAGCCTTTCCTCTGGGCAATGCCAGGTGACAGGCTATGCATACATGGACCATTGTCTTCTCATCACTGGTACTCAGGATGTGCTTATCTGCGCATATCTCCAGCTCTGCATATTCCCCCCTCCCTCCTCCATATGTTAATCCTGTGTAACCCAACCTCTTCTTAATGTATTCATGATGTAATCTGTGTAACCCAACCTCTTCTTAATGTATTCATGATGTAACTGGGATGTATTTTGCACTGTATTCTGGGACATGGAGGGAAGTTTCAAAAGTTCATGTCACCCCTTTCTCGCTGTTCAATCTCGCCTTGAACCTGTTGCGCAATAAACTTGGATCTTCTGCAGTTTGCTTCTGTCTCCAGCTGAGCTCATTTTCCTCTGCAGGGACCCGCAGACTTAGTTCGACGAGCTGGCTGGCAGAGCAGCCTCGCACCCAGATTTTACCATAACACACTCCAGTCGATAGAACAGTCAATATAACAACAGCTGCGATATTAACGACTTCCATTTGTATTGACACATTAAATGATTTATAAACCGACAAATTAGTTTTTCTAAGGTGTGTTATCCTTGCATGTGAAAGCCACTCTTTCCTGTGATTTAATATTGAATATTCTGTTCCATTTCCCATGTAATAAATATATCTTTTGCATGCCTGACCACCTTCGTATTAGGGTTTTATGTCTTTTTTTTAATGGCTATCTCCTTTTTTCTAAATTTCCTATTGGTTTTCAAAGGCCTCTGGCATGCTTCTTTGCTGTGATGCTTTAATAAATATTCCACACCCATTTTGTGAGTAGCATTGGGGCTCATTTCTCGTTCCAGCCTTTGGACCCCCAGAGGTGTGAGTGGGGAGGGGAGAGACCCACAGGGCTGCAGACACAATATATATTTAAAGCATGTAGCTTCCCCCAAAGAATTCTGGGAAATGTGGCTTACAGTTCCCAGCGCCCAGAGCAAACTATGGAATATTAAGGGTATTCTCATTCAGCCTTCATTGGCATAATTTAGACAATAAAATCAGAAAAGGGGGGGGGAACCAACCATATAACATTGGCAATCCAGACATATTAAACACATAAAACATATAAAAGACTCAGTAGGCACCATTAAGTAAAATTAAGTGGTTTTAGATTCGACTTTCAAAATCTCGGCTAAATATCCTGAAACAATTTCAGTTGTTTCGGGAATATCATTCCACAACAGATATTGGATTACAGATTCTTTGCAAGTGGGTACTTGCCGATCAGAAGGTTGGTGGTTCGAATCCCCGCGACAGGGTGAGCTCCTGTTGCTCGGTCCCTGCTCCTACCAACCTAGCAGTTCGAAAGCACGTCAAAGTGCAAGTAGATAAATAGGTACCGCTCCGGCGGGAAGGTAAACGGTGTTTCCGTGCGCTGCTCTGGTTCGCCAGAAGCGGCTTAGTCATGCTGGCCACATGACCAGGAAGCTGTACGCCGGCTCCCTCGGCCAATAAAGCGAGATGAGCGCCGCAACCCCAGAGTCGGCCACGACTGGACCTAATGGTCAGGGGTCCCTTTACCTTACTTTGAGCTTCAAAGGAGTCGCCGGTAGGTCTCTGCGAAGAATGTCAGAGAGGGCAGTCCAAAATTATATGGTATATTGCAGTGCTTTCCCCCCCCCAAAATGTTTGGGGTATGTGTACCCCTGCTTACCCCTAGAAAAAAGCACTTTTTAAAAAAACTTCCAGACAGTACAAATGAGTGGAATGCATTTAAACTGGCTAAAAAAAAACCCTCTCTATAATACGAAGGGAAATCTAAAGTATAAAAATTGTTGGGTACCAATTTATCTCTGTATGTTTATCTGCGTAAGCAGATTGAGTTGGATAAAGTTTTTGAAATTCATGATCTAACAGGCTCTGCTTAATGCGAGAGAAAATATGTAACTCATCCAGTAAGAGGAGACTATTACAATCCCTATTTGTTTGAGTTTAAAGGTTCAACAACCGAAAACATTCGACAACCAAGGCTCAATTGCCGGTCAGCAAAATCCATTGAAAAACGGAGAAAAAAATGGAGAAACACGCCTCAAAAACAGAAGCATTCACTTCCGGGTTGTCAGCGTTTGGGTTCTGAATTGTTCAGCTTCTGAAGCGTTTGACAACCGAGGTTCCACTGTACTAGGAGGCCGAGGGACCCAGAGAGGTTTGCAGCCGACTCCACCA